ACCCTAAAGTCGCGAGTATATAAGTTTATCCGAGTATAAGTTCTGAATTTACATTTAAAGGGCATTTAAAGGGATGGAAAACTTTCTTCTTTCTCCTTTAATTTTTGTATTGTTTTTTTTTTTTTTTTTTTTATTTTTATTGTTTTTTTATTGTTTTTTTTATTTTTTATTTTTACTAACGTTTTTTCATTTTAGATACGATGATGAGAAAGTCGTACACCGCCGAAACGAAGCTCGAAGCGGTCAAATTTGCGAGGAGAAATTTGGAACGAACGCGGCCGTGATCGAATTCTGAAGTCGCCGAACAGATGATTAACCGCTGGAAACAAGCTGAGCCGGCACTGATGACTTCACCAAAAAATAATCGAGTTTCCGAGGATTGAGGGCAAAATGGCCAGATGTGGAGAAAGATCTGGAAGGCATGGGTTCTGGAGAGAGGCGATCAAAACAAGGGAGCTGTAAATGGACCGGCAATGAAACGAGAAGCCAACAACATTGCAACGAAACCTAGGACTTCGTCCGTTTCTCACCCAGCAATTCATGGATTCAAAATTTCACAGTAAGGGTGAATGGCTTGTCGATGCGGCGGAGGACGAGCGTTGGACAACCACTTCCAAAGGACTGTCAAAGCAAGAAATCATCTTTTCGATCGTTCTGTCGAGAATTTTATGATGTTTCACCAAACAATTTTGGAAATTTAGACGAAGTTCCGGTTCCATTCGATATTGTTTCCAACCGAACAGTCGAAGTAAAAGGAAAAGGGGTGATATTTCAATTGCTTCAACGGGAAATGAGAAGACGAATTTCACAGTTGTGCTCGGAATTCTAGCCGATGGATCGAAACTCCCACCGATGCTCATTTTCAAGCGCAAGACTCTTCCTAAAGGAATTTTTCCCGGTGTGATCATCAAAGCTAATCCGACAGGGTGGATGAATTCGGACTTGATGAAGGAGTGGCTCGATGAAATTTGGTTGCGAAGAGCAAATCCGGTGGCCAAATCCGAAGAATCAGTGCTCGTGTTGGACTCAGCTCGCTGTCACTTAACCGATAATGTCAAGGCTGAAATTCAGCAACACTCGAAGCTGGCTGTGATTCCAGGAGGGCTGACTCATTTCTACAACCGCTTGACATCAGCGTCAATAAGCCATTCAAGGACAATCTAAAGGCTCACTGGGAAGAATGGATGTCCGATAGCCGAAACGACCAATTTACCCTGTCAGGACGAAAAAAGAGAGCGAGCTACGAGACAATTGCGGAATGGGTAAGGAAAAGTTTCGATGCGGTCCCCTCTTCTTGCATTATCAATGGATTTCGAAGAGCTTTGACGGATGAAACAGTTTCGAAGCTAAGCACAGAATTCTTTTATGTCCTTTAATTGCTTTGAAATTCTTTTTGTTGGGTTTTTTTGATACATTTTTATTGTTATATAAACTTTTATTATTGTTCTTGGAGCGCGGGATACTACAGGGTGACAGCCTATCACCATTGCTATTTGTTATGTGCATGGATACATCCAGACGATAAGTGTTGAAGAAGACGCTGGAAAGCATCTTTTCGACCGTCCGACGTGGACTTTGGCCGGATGAAGAGGCCAGGGAGGGATCCATAAGACTGAGCACCGGAGAGGAGCAGGGCGGACGCGCCGAGCCGCGCCCGGAGCAACAAATAACAGCATAAAATTGCTATAACCCTCAATAAATTTACTTCTATTGTTCTTAAAAAGCAAAAAAGTTATGCTGCAGCGGGGTTCGAACCCTCGACACACCGTCAATTTGCATGACAGCCGTCAATTTGCATGCGAAAACCAGACAGAACTTATACTCGCGACTTTAGGGTAGTCAAAGATTTGCTGAATTTTGATATCTTTACTTAAATTCTTTTGGATCACTCTAAAATGTACACTCAACCTTAGAAATCTCTTTCAGCCTTAGTGGCAAGTACGCTAGAAAAACTAGCGTATTACATTCTTTTCATGGTGGGAGTGATCGATCCTCACACACGTCAGTTAAAGGTTTTAAAATTCTATAACGTGCCCTTGGGAACGTACGTAACCGTTGACTAAGTAACTTTTGCACAAGTAAAAGGCTATAAAAGGTTTCCTATCTTATTCCGTTGTGTCTTTTCTTTCATTTGAGTCTTCTTGATTCATTTTTTTGCTCTTGATCAAGTGATTTATTTCTTTCGCATTCACTTTTGCAAGTGATTCGTGTTCTCATTTATTAAGTGATTGTTTTCATTCATTTCTCAGTGAGTGTTTTATTCTTGTTTTGTTGTACGTGGTGTTGTTAACGTGGAACGTAGTGTTTTGCGTGGTGATTCAGGTGTTAAATAAAGTCTTGTTTCTTTAAAGAAGCAGACATAAACCACATTGAGACCTCACAGAAGATAAAGCACGTTACACTATATCCTCATTTAGTTCATATACCTACTCCGGGTTTTACTTTTGATTCTTTTTTCAAGAAGTGCTAACTAGTGAGCGCGCACAATCGCTTTCCATCTCGCAGATCGTTTTCCATATATAAAGCCGTAAGGTAATGCTGAACAATCGCCATCAAATGTTCGTCAATTCCCAAGGGGGAGGTCAGTAACCTCCCCCGTGAATTAATTCCAAGCATCTAGTTTGATTTTAAACGTTGAGAATAGTTTAGTTTACTAGTTAATAGTTCACTTATAGTTGAATATTAATAATTTACTTTAGAAATAGAGTCCGAACCGGGAGTTGTGGTCAAAATCCTCCAAGAGAAGTTCGGGTTAGCTACACAGCGCGCACAAAGAACACGAGTCAGTACTTCTTGAAAAGCCAAAGAAAGATCCAAAGTGGGGATCGACCTTGTGAGGTCTCGCCCTGGAAACCAACGCTGCATCACTCGGCCACGTCGAGTCTAGTTCGCAAGAAGGCCATTAAGACCCAAATGACCATATCTTAACAGTCCTAACAAAGCTTTAGACGCTTATCACTCCTGTTAGTTTGTCATCTAGCAAAAACGGAAAATAGATTCAGCATAAAATTCTTAATGGCATAGGTCACATAGCATTTGGTTGGTTTAGCTAGTTGATCTTCCCTTTTCAGAAACTTTCAAAAGTCATTTGCAAGAGGCTATCTAATGAAAAAAAACCGTATTTCATTTGGTAGCTTAAGACCTATTTAATAGAAAATGAATCTGGGTGAAAGACTTAGTATTCAACCGAATGTTTTGATTCAAAGTAGATCTTAAAGTTAACCAACAGTTTAGCTAATATCTTTAATGTACTGTCATTTCCAGGAACTTCTCTACGCCGGCGTTCCGATTACGCGAGTCGCGAGTCAGAAGAAGAGATGGGTGTTGGCGGTGTTCTCTCGCTTCTCTGGTTCCAGGTTTGTCCCAGTACTTTATTGACCTAATTCTGGTCCGTGCCATCACTTCAATTTACCCGTTTTCTTTACCATTTTTCTTTTTATTTACCAATTTAGAAACGTTTGCCCGATTATGCGAAGTTCATCTGCCTAATGCTCACCGTTGATCACGGACCTGCCGTCTCCGGAGCGCACAACACATCGTTTGCGCCAGAGCTGGCAAAGATCTCAGCTCATCGCTTGTGTCCGGATTGCTCACAATTATTGGTTTAGCGTGATATTAGAAATCTTACCGTACAAGAACAAGCAATTAGCAATGAGAAAACAACTGTAATTTAGGGCGACCGTTTCAGTGGCGCACCCGATGGAGCCGCAAAGACTTTCACGGAGGCGTTCGACAAACAACAAAGTGCTCATCAATTTTTCAATGAAATGCGCCATCAAGGAAAACTGATTACTGGCATTGGACATCGTGTGAAATCGGTTTGAATGGCAAAAAAATCGAAGGAATATTTTTAAAATCTAGATTAGCAACCCTGACAAACGAATGGAGATCCTAAAAAAGTTTGCTCTCAACCCCGACATCTTCAAGCAAGAAACCCCGCTGTTGAACTTTGCGCTTGATGTTGAAAGGATCACTACTGCCAAGGTTTGACCTAGCATTAAAATTATCTACTATATATAAAAGAGGGGTGTCTGTCTGTTCGTCTCGCTGTCTGCCTGTACGGGCATTTTCTCGGTCGTGTATTGACCAATAAATCGAAAACTTCTTTAGAAAACCTTAAAGTATATTGTAGTCGTGCTATTTAAAATTAAACCTTAAAAAATCAAAATTGAGTCGCACTACGGGGGCGAACCCGGCTCGTGTGGGCCGTATACGAACGCGACTGCGCTACGGCGATGGAGATGTCTCGGAGAATATTCAGCCCCTAATCGCGGGCTTTTCCGGCTGGACGTTCGTTGCTGTAGCACAGTTGGAAGCGCTTTTGTTTACGGTCCAAACTATCCGGGTTCGATTCTCGGATGCTTCATCCAACTTCGATTTAGAAAATTTGTTTGAAGGGTACAACTACAATATATTATGAGATTTTCTAACGAAGCTTTAGCTTTATTGGTCAAAACATGGCGGAGAAAAGTTGCAAGCCGATTTGAAAGCTTCAATGATTTTTGGATAAAAGTAAACATTTTGTTCAATTCTGACAGTTTCAAATATGTCTTCTTCTCCTTTAAGAATTGATCTACAAACAATGCAACACATCCTTTTTCAATCAATGTTTCAATCCCATCCACAAAGACTTCTTTGATACACAGCGATTAAGTTCGAGTAAAAAGGAGAAAGCAAAGTTTGCAAGTCAAGTATGAAAAAAGAGTGGAGTAGAAAGGGGAAGGGGAGGGTTGTGATGGGAATAATTCCAGCGGGGCTTTGTCCCTTTGTTGCCCACTCCGAGCTGAGCACTGATTTAAAATTTTTTTCTTGCATCAAATTTATAATGATCCTACAAAAAACCACAGAATAATTTTATATAAGTTTCTTAAATGCTTTTAAAACCATAAAAGAAAGAGTTCATTAGGTAGTTCAAAGTAAGGTAGCACCCTTCTTTTAGTTTCTTATTTTGATTCAACTCCCAATTAAATACCTCAGTAATTAATATCACAGGTCTTAATGAAATAAGTGCACTTCTTGGAAAAAGCATTTTTTGTTACACTGGAAGATAAAAGGATCTCATCAAATATTCTATTTTCATCGGAAGTTTAAACCTTGACCTCAAGTCTTTATACTGAACTTTAAGGAAAAGCTTCAAAATTTTTCTCGCCTTTTTTCTTTTTCAGAACCAACTTCTCCCTTCAATTATGGGCACTTTCAGACCCGGTGCCCAAAGGGTCGATAATTTCATTAGATGGTTGGGTGTTTTTAGCGTCTTTTTTTTTCTTTGCGCAAAAAGCAAACCATAAAGCATTTTACGGATTTGCTTTACTAGTTTCGATGGCCTCAAAAAACTTTTGACTGATTGTTCAGTATAAAATTTTTGAGCTCATCTTGGTTTCTATTGTGTTTTTTGGCAATTATATTTTTTGGATAAGCGTAAGTATTATTTATTTTTAAAAACTCATATTAAATTGATAAACTTTTGAACAAGAACTGATTCGAAATTCAAGCTTGTCATTTAATGTACAAAAGGAATAGATATGGGTTTTTAAAAATAAATCGATGACTAGAACATCAGGACTTTACAGAAAGCAAAATGGGTATTCAAAAAGAAAATATTCTAAAATTTTTTTGGCGTTTTTTTGGTTTTTTTTGGCGATTTCGCCAAAAATCACCAAGTTTAGCACAATTTTGCGTCACTTCACGTCACGTCACAAATAAAGCCCAAAAAAATGGGCTTTATTTGTTTTTTTATATGGAAACCATGTTTTTCGGAATCAGGGTTAAGAATTACTTCATGTAAAAAAATTAATGTATATCCTTTTCCTCATTGAATACAATGTTTAGGGCATTAGCTGAATATCTTTAACATTTTGCAAAGCTATAAAGTGGCCATTTTGGCGACATTTTTTATCGTTTTGTTGTTTTAAACCTGTTCCTTCTGTTAGACATTCAAAATCTCAAGAATTTTTGGATATTTTTGGCGATTTCGCCAAAATTCACCAGGTTTAACACAATTTTGCGTTACCTGCTTGTCACAACTCAAAATTTACTCTTGATGCTATTTTTCTTGCTTTATTTTATTATTTTTGCAAATCTTGCCTAATCTTGTCATTTTCAGATCTCTATTTGTGCTACAACGAAAAGAGGGGCCAATTCCCTGCAGCCGCTTCATCGATCGCCTCCTTTCCTTCGCCCATTCGATGACCGGTTCATCGATTCTATATTGCTTGATTGCCTGCATCGCTGAGATGAGAGACGTCTTGGACAGGGGAAGGAATTTCAAGCAAAGGTACGTTATTTTAGCAAGTATAGACTTTTGTAGTGGTTAAGTTTACTCAAAATGGTTGATTTGTTGATCAAACTTGGTTAGGCGTTGTGAAAAGGCATTGTGAGATTCTAGATCAGCCCTGTTGTTGAAGGAGCTTGATTTGCTGTCGAAACGTTAGTTAAAGCTCATTTGCTGGATTAGCCAGCCTAAAATGAATGTGTTTTAAAGCGGTAGGTTGATTTGTTGCAGAAACTTTTGCTTTTGTACAGCTTTTGCGAGCTTCTAGAAATTTCAAGAATTTTTATAAGTAGTGGAAAAGTTATTTAGAACCTTATAACTCCATTGTGTAACGTATTCCCTTTACCATTTTCTTCTTTAGGCTCACTTCACCAACGCTACCTCAATTTTCAATAGCTACCATGCGGCGATAGAATTGGATCCGAAAAGCTACCAGACTTTCTACCGACTACTGTTTATTTGGCAATGGGAAAGGGTAAGGTGTGTATGATGGAATAAAGTGATTTTAGGGTCTTAAGAATTATTTTCACCACTTTAAGTTGTACTTTTAGTCATCCCTTCCGGATTTCTACAAAGTCGTTCAATTGAAGCCAGACTTGACGGAGACTCGGATACAACGAGGGAGTTTTCTGCTAAGAAAAAAGGAGAGCTTGACCCAGCGCAACAGGGTTTTGATTCAGTGGTCAGCTTTAAGAACTTTAGAAATAATTTTATTGGGATGTTTAGTTATCAGTCGAGCCGAACCACAACGAGGTGGCCGCCAAATTCGAGCACATCAATTAGTTACGACAAATGTTTTCAAATGGCGAGCATTTCATGGGGAATGGCGATTTTCAAGGAGCCGGGCATTGCCTGCCAAAGGCCATTGAAACGATGATGTGGGATGGAAGGTGTGTAGCTGATAATTTCTTGAGAAGCATTGACATATTGGCCATTTAAGATTAGATTTCCTGCAGTTTATTGAATATTCTAGATAAAATGTAATAATTTTGCTAATTTGTCCATTTTAGCCTCTACACGATGCCTGCCAAATGCTATAAACACCCGGGTCACACGCAGCAAGCGTTTGCAGATCAATGAAACGTTGCCAAGCTTTTCTCCGACTTAACTGAACTGCATCTGGATGTTTAAAAGTTGTACTACTATTTTGGAGGAGAGTTTAAGGTGAGTAAAGCTATTGTATAAATCTTGTAAAAATTTAAATTAAGGAATTTAGGCAACTCCGCGAGTTCCTGAAGTTGGATACCGATCACAAGAAATGCAAGGACTTCTACAAGGGAGTGAAAATGCACGAGGATCTCAATAAATTGATGTCAAAACAGGTTGGATATTAGATAACAGTAAAGTTAAAAATGTTAAGCTGATAATTAGTTTTATCTCCAAATCTTTGAAATTAATGAAAAACAAATGAATGAAAAGAGAATGGTCGGAGAGTGAAGTTCTCTCGGCTCTTACCCTCTTCCAAACGTCCACCACCTATAAAACAAAATAATTGTTGTTCTATAATAAATCGTGAAACGAAATGATTGTAAATTAAAATTTGTAAATAATACTTATATATACTCAATCAATTAAAATAACTTTTCCATTTCAAATTTAAAGTGCTATTTGAATAAAAATTTCTTAGTATAATTTAGTTTTTTTGGCGTGCTCACTTGTAAATCAGTTTCTTGTCTTCTTTGATCACTCACCAAATCGATCGAATCATGTTGTTTCTCAAGAGGAAGAATGGGAGTCCATAGATGAGAAGCTCTTCTAGAGACCCTCCACAATCATCTGCCTTCCAGTCATTTCCTAAAAACTGTTTTGTTTTTAAAATCTGTTTTGTCGGGAATATGAACTGCACATACTTTGAGGTCAGTTCTAATCTCTAATTTACCTGTGGAATGGTGTTTTGTCCGAACGGATCCTAGGGATTGTAGGCTCTTGGTGTATCCTGGGCATTTCGAGGGGAAGCAGCCTAAACGGGCTTCCTCTTTCAATTCAAACAAAAACTTTCCTAAAACTTCTAGTATTGAGTTTAGTTTTTTTTGACATTGCAACAGTTCAAAACTTTGGATAGAAAAGTTTTTTCGATCATACCTGAGTGTGGGTTGTTGTCGATCGGCCCTGCAACCCGCAACGCAAATTAAAACAATGTGCAAAAATGAAGCCAGACTTGACGGAGACTCGGATACAACGAGGGAGTTTTCTGCTAAGAAAAAAGGAAAGCTTGACCCAGCGCAACAGGATTTTGATTCAGTGGTCAGCTTTGTATGAACTAAATGAGGATATAGTGTAACGTGCTTTATCTTTTGTGGAGTCTCAATGTGGTTTATGTCTGCTTCTTTAAAGAAACAAGACTTTATTTAACACCTGAATCACCACGCAAAACACTACGTTCCACGTTAACAACACCACGTACAACAAAACAAGAATAAAACACTCACTGAGAAATGAATGAAAACAATCACTTAATAAATGAGAACACGAATCACTTGCAAAAGTGAATGCGAAAGAAATAAATCACTTGATCAAGAGCAAAAAAATGAATCAAGAAGACTCAAATGAAAGAAAAGACACAACGGAATAAGATAGGAAACCTTTTATAGCCTTTTACTTGTGCAAAAGTTACTTAGTCAACGGTTACGTACGTTCCCAAGGGCACGTTATAGAATTTTAAAACCTTTAACTGACGTGTGTGAGGATCGATCACTCCCACCATGAAAAGAATGTAATACGCTAGTTTTTCTAGCGTACTTGCCACTAAGGCTGAAAGAGATTTCTAAGGTTGAGTGTACATTTTAGAGTGATCCAAAAGAATTTAAGTAAAGATATCAAAATTCAGCAAATCTTTGACTAATTGATTGAAAAGAAAATGAATACGTAAACAGGTAGATCGAAGTTGTGGCGATGTTGATTCTTTTATAATCGGCAGAATACGATGTGATGATTTCCTCGGCAGCGGCTGCAGATGGTCATATTACGCTTGTTGCACGGTCCCTTGTGGCTCTTGTAGCACATCAGATCTTGACATATATTTTTCGCTCGGGCAATTTCGAGTCTTTGATTGATCGGCATCGGCACCCTTAAGCGCGCACTTAATTACGTCTTTGCAATCTTGATTGCAAAATGGACACGTTTGTGGATGAACTTTTAAGATCTTCCGTTTTACCGGACCTTCTTCCGTTTCATCCACGTCTTCTTTCAGCTTCCTTTTATTTACTTCTCTACGTAATTCACGCATCACATCTTCATGTTGTGATTTCGCCAACTTTTCCATTCCCTCAATGCGCAAATCAATATACGTTTTGAGAGTAGCTAATATTTCTCTCGTCTCGGCTCTCATGATCTCGTGCATCTTTTGCACCACGTTTTGTGATTCGCGCTCAACGGCTATTCCAATTTTAGGAATAATATCGCTGAGAGGCTCTGAGATATCTTGCATCTCAAATGCTTTTGTCTCAGTGCCCATACTTTCTGCTGACCTTTCTCTCACTTCACGACTTTCTTGCGTGTCACTTGTTTGATCTCCGCCGACTTGCGTTTTTGCTGCTGGATCATCAGTCATTCGTACCTGTAATGTACACGTTATTGTTGTACTGACAAAATAACACTTGAGAACGTAAAGCAAAAAGAAATAAACATGTTACTATTATTCACAGATTTGTCAGCTCCGAGACAAACTGATATTTTAGTCACTATTGTTATTATTGAATGCTTTGTCTAATCTTATGCAAATGTATTCTCCTCTGTGCTTATCCCTTTTATTGCCGAGAAGGGGCGGTCCTTAGGATTGCCTGGAAGGACAAGGGAGACTCTCATTTGGAGTCCCCCCTTCCCCTTACACTCATTTCTAATCTATTCATCTTATTGTATTACTGTAAATGAAGATATGTATCTTCCGGGTCTATGCAACTGCAGTGCAACTACAGGTCGGTCATTTCACAGGGACTCCCCTCTAATACGTTGGAGGAGTTGAGTTGGGTTGTCGGGGTGTTAGAGATGGCGGGATATCAAAAGGGATCCCCCTCTTTAACTTAACCCAAATTCTAGTCCACATCCGTTTACACCTAGGAACGTATATGGAGGTTCCACCTTAGAATTCGGCATTTCTAACACAACCAGCCTTACGTCTTGGTCAGAAATTTGTTTGTTATATTTACCTTTATTGCTTATTCACTTTATTCTTCGTCCCCACAAATTTATGGCTAGACAACTTAAACTCAACAAAGGAGTGACCAACCCGCTAGGTCCAACCTCTGCGCGGAAAAAAATTTATTAGGGTAATAGCCGTCGTTCGGATCCGAGCAACATCAAAATTAAATTATTACAAAATTTTAGCAAAGAAAAGAATGACGTGCAGAGGGTAATAATTTATGGGCCCAATAATAATTCCATCTAAAATAGATATATAACCAAACTTCGACCGTTGAATCAAAATTAAATAGTTAATGCTTTTAGACTGAGCCTAAGGCGCCTGTAGGTAAAGTCGCGGTTTTATTACCCGAAATCTGAAATACCATCACTTTTTCGCTACTTGTGATGGGCGGTCAAGTTTTCTTAGGTCCTAGTGTCCCCCCGGAAGATTTAATTTTGTGCTATCTCTCTTTCAATCATAATTTTCTACAATCCAACCTTCCAAATTTTAAACTCAAAACCCAATTTTCGAAGGAAATGTAAAATTCACCCTTCGACGCTTAGACATTAATCAAATTTCGTCTGAAGGCTGCCTTTTTGGAAACAGTATTTAAATTCCAAAGCCTTATAGTTCACTTTACATATTACTTCTCTTGTGAAAACGGGTTTAAAATCTTATATAATATATCAATAAAAAAAAAAAAAAACTTGATATTTTCTTCTGTACCGTATCACAAAGCTCTCATTCAATTTTATCCAAATACTTCTTTTTCCTTTTTCCTTATTCATCCTCTTCTCTAAGAAAACTAGACAGATGGTCAACAATGCGAAGGTCAACAATAATGCCATAAATCAAGTATCCTACGCATCTTGTAAAGCCTCCGCATTAAGTGGAATGATAGCACCCTTTTTGCTTCAAACTGTAAATCAAGTAACTGTAAAACAATATATCATTCTTGATCTCGAACAGCTGGTCCGCGAAAATGAAATAGATAACAATAAACCCATCAATAAGGAATAGCGCGTGAAAACAATTTTCGAGGGACCAAGATTAAATAGAAATGAAATTACCCCTAATAATTACCAATTAGATAGCTTCAAGTAGCTTTTCAACTAATCTCGTTCTTCTAGTTTATCAAAGCTTTAAATTTGCTTACCTTGCACCTTTCTCATTTTACTCCCTTTATCTTTTTGATTTATGTTTCTTTTTGAAAAAAAAAAAAAAAAAAAGAAGAAGAAAGAAGATTCAGGACTTGGGAACCGTCGAAATTTACTTACAACGCGTTCGAAGAGTCATCGAAAATTTGAATAGGGCTAGAGAAGAAGAAAGAGAAGAGAGAGAAGAACAAGAAGAAAGAAGAGAAGAAAGAGTCCAAGAGCCACTGGTGGGTGAACCCCCAGCCCCACCACAAAATATGGACGATTTTTTCATCGGAGAGGTATTACGCCATCTTCCAGAGTATGATGGAGCCGTCACGTCTCCTTTTGAGCCCTGGCTTAAAAAGTTTGTGGGAAAATGTGTGGGAGCAAACATTACCCCTGAACAAGCATCCCTCCTGATTCCTTCAGTTCTTACGGATCAAGCTCTAAATGTCTACGCCACACTACCCCAGAATGTTTTGGAAACGCACAACCATATACTCATCTTGAGAGCATTGGAAAATGCGTTAAGAAACAACCGCTACCGTCAACAAAAAGCGGCTGAGAGGTTGGAGAACATCAAATGGAAGAACACGGATTCTCCACAAAAATTCATTGAGAATATCCGTACCCTGGTCGAAGGATCATCAACCACCAACGAAATAGATCGAGAGACCTTCAAGGAAGTGAAAAGACATCTCCCTTGGGGGCTGAGAAAGCATGTAGAGAGAGCCGGTCCACAAATCCTCGACGAACTATTACTCATCATTGAGAGAGAGCTAGGGTATCAGCGACGAGACGATGAGCACAGCGTCAGCCTCGTTGAGGAGATGGAAAAAAGAACTCAAAGGAAAACAATTGAGGATCTTAATGAAAAGGTAAACAACTTGGTCGTCTCTCAGGAAAGAGCTCAAGAAAGATTCGAGAGAAGAAAATTTGAAGAAGATCTGAGGAAGAGACTGTTCGGAAACCACAAAGGTTTTGGCCGTGGTGGTGGTCAATGGAGAGGAAAAGACTGGAGTGGTTATAGAAGTTACAACAATTGGAATGTGTCGGAAGAGACTCCAAACTTGCCTTCAGAAGCTGAAATTCGAAAGCTTCAAGAAGATTGTCCATGGATGAACGAAATCCTTCGAGCTGCGAGTGAAGGTATCACAAGCCCAGATTCAGCACATGAAAGAGTCAAAAAGTGGCATGAACGTTACTTGGTGCAAAATGGCTTGATCTACTTGAAGCCACACAACAAATTGGAAACTCCGAGAGTTCTGATTCCTGAAGGATCATTGTGGACAACACGAATAATCCGATACTTTCATGAAAGACAACACTTGGGAGCGCATGGTGGAGCACCAAAGACCATGAAGCTCATTGAGAGTCGATTCGTGTGGAATGGAATGAAACGGGAATGTGAAGATCAAGTCGCTCTATGTAAAGAGTGCCAGAAACGAAAACAAGGAGCGCATCTAGCAAAGATTCCAATGGGAAAATTTCCAATTCCCGGAGCTCCTTTGGAACGCATTCATATTGACATTTGCGGAAGTTTTCGGGAAACAGAAAGCGGAAATCGATTTTTCATTTCGATCATTGATGGATTTTCAAAATTTTTGATTACTGAAGCAATCCCAGCCCAAACCACCGAAATTATTTTCAAAACCCTTGTGAACCGAGTTATTTCTGTGGTTGGACATATTCAAATGATTGTGACAGATCGAGGATCTCAATTCACAGCTGAAGCATGGAAAAAATTGATGAAAACAATCGGAATTGAGCATATGCTCACACATGCATATGTACACAGTACAAATGGTGTTATTGAGCGAGTTCATCACACAATTGAACAATGGATCTCAACCATGATTGCCAAAGAAGAAGTCCCTGAAGAACATTGGGATCTTTATCTCCCGTGGGTGACACATGCTTACAATATCACCGTGCAAGCAAGTCATGGAAGGAGTCCGTATAAGATAATATTTGGAAAAGACCCAAATCAATTCCATGATCAATTCATCGGAACACCAAAATGGCGATACAATTCACCTGAATCGTACTCAGAAATCTTGGAATCAACTTTGGCAAAGGTCTGGAAAATAACCCGAGAAAAACTCGCTGAAACACAAAAGAGAAATGAAATTCAGTACAATGAAAAGCACAAAACAGCTGAAAAGCCAATTGAAGTCGGAGAAAAAGTGTTGATAAAATTGGGCAACTACAATCAAAATTACAACCAAAATATGAAGGACCATTTGAAGTCAAAGAAATCCGAGGATCTAAATTACTTGTCCGTGGAGGAAAGTTCCAGAAAGTACAGGAAGTTCACATTGATCGCGTGAAAAGTTTGTCGAAGAAGACAGAATGACCAAATTTCAAGAGAGCGATCAGGGAAGAACAACAAATCCAAGAAGAGAGAAGAAAAACGTAAAAGAGGAGGCCACGTAAACAACGACCGGAGGAGATGAATACAATCGACAACGAAGAGAGAATGGGGATGACCGGGGACGGTCATCGGACCGAAAGGCGGCGGATGTCAGCTCCGCGCCAAACTGATATTTTAGTTACTTTGTTATCATTGAATGCTTTGTCTAATCTTATGCAAATGTATTCTCCTCTGTGCTTATCCCTCTTTATTGTGCCGAGAAGGGGCCAGTCCTTAGGATTGCCTAGGAGGACAAGGAGACTCTCATTAGGAGTCCCCCCTTCCCCTTACACTCATTTCTATTCTATTCATCTTATTGTATTACTGTAAATGAAGATATGTATCTTCCGGGCTCTATGCAACTGCAGTGCAACTGCAGGTCGGTCATTTCACAGGGACTCCCCTCTAATACGTTGGAGGAGTTGAGTTGATTGGGTTGTCGGGGTGTTAGAGATGGCGGGATATCAAAGGGATCCACCTCTTTAGCAACCGAGATTCTAGTCCACATCCCGTTTACACCTAGGAACGTATAGGGTGCCCTTGCGGGCTAATAAAACGT